TTCGAGTTTTTATTGTAGGCGTCGATAGTAGAGATTTAGGTGAAATTATTTTCATCAAATTTCACCAAATTTCACTAGTGAAATTATTTCACCAATTTTACCAAGAGATAAAATTATTTCATCACTCTAGTTTAATTTCACCAGCGTATTTAATCAATAGATATTGGATATATCTAACCAACTGATCTAGGATGTATCTAGGATGTGCAAATAGTTTTGATTATTTTTAACCACCGCCTAAACCAGTGTTGGGAAATTGGACAAAAACTGCGCCACATTTAGTTTTGGACATATGTCCAATTAATTTTGAAAACAATTGGACATAGTAATCTTCCCAACACTGGCCTAAACTATATAAAAAGAGCTTTTGACGCTAAAGAATTTACAAGTTTTTAACTTCAAACCAAATTAAGACTTCTTTGCATTAAACAAAGGAGCATTTTTAAGTGAGACAATTATTTACCAGAATGAAGAATTTTACTTCGATTGGGACGGTAAAAATTTGAATCCATCGTAAAATCGCGGATGATGATGATTGGGTAATCTGCACGAATAGAGTATTTATTTGTGCATAGTATCCAAATTTTTACTGGTACCTGCTATGGTGAGAGTTAATAGAAAAGGGACAAATCATTTTTAGTGAATTTTCTTTGTTAATTGTGTCAACAACCATACAATTAAAATTGATAAATTATTATTATTATTATTTTATTTTAATTCTAAAATTATATTGAATTAAAATAAAAAAATTTTATCAAGTTTTGATTAAGAATCATTTGAGATATTTAAAAGCCAAGAAAAAATTTAATTAGAAAAATTTGTCCCTTTTTTACTGATTTCTCCAATATTAAGAGCCAGTTTGACCTTTATTTTAATTGTCGTAATAAAGTTACGTCAAGATGCCTGCATCTATACTTGTGACTCTGTTGTTTTTATCATGGTTCCTAACTATCTTAATAATCCATAGTTTAGAAAAATCTACAGAGGCGGATCTTGTTCAAATATTGACACCAGCATTCCTAAATATTACATCACAAGATAACCTACGCAAAGCCTTTTTAGAATTAGGAGGTGCACAAATAATGTTTGATTATTTGGAAGAAGAAAAGTAATTTTGATCACCATCTTGGATAAATATTATCCCTAAAATTTCCAATAAAACAGTAATTAAAAATAATTGCTTAATTTCCATTAACTCATTTCACGTGTTAAGTTTTATATAACGTAAATACACCAGAAATAGTTTTGTTTAATAATAATACATAGCGATAGAGGGTATTTTTTCATTTCACAGAATCGTTGCAAACATGGGTAAAGTTTCGATGATCAATTATTTATGTAGATCCTAACCTGAAATTAGAAGGATCCGAACAATTATTTTGTCTTCTCGTTATATCTAGCACATCACCATTCTATAAGGACTCGACCTGAAAGTTGTAAAAAGATTAAATCCTGAGCAATTTCGGTTTATAATGACTAAATAATATAATTTCTCAAAGCCAACGAATGCAAATTAAAAAATTAATTATTTGGATCAGCAAGTATTGAACATATATTAAAGTGAGAATCATGTTCGGGCTTATCAGAAATAAGACGGTTACGGTAATGATTTGTATTAAGGCGCTTTCAGTTAATTATAGCACGTTTACATACAGAATTATACCTTATTAAGATTTTAGTATCAGTGTATGAAAGTAATGCAATGCACAAAAAAAGTTTTTTTAAACCTCTTAATATGGTGCGAGCCTCTTGTTGCATCAATGCGAGTCGTTTCATATTATTTAATTTAAAAAAAAAGTTTCATTTAAGAATTATATATATTATTATACAGCATAATGGCAAAGCATTAGTTGCGATAACCTGAAAATGATTCGATTAACTGAATCATGTATTTTTTGGGGAGCTTGAATTTATATACAATTGTTCCCTGGCTATACATGCCGAGTTACCACAGCAGTTTCATATTAAAATCAAAGCCGAAATAGGTTTTGCGGCAGGTATACCCCTGGCCAATCCCACTTTTCATGTACGTACGTACATGTTTCTACTGATAAGGAATTTTAATTAAATTAAAATGTAAGTATCAAAAGTTTTTCTATCATGCTTCGCTTTTTAAAATAAAAGACTATAAAGTGAAGAAAGGTTTTTAGACGAAGTGCATGAAAAGTGTATAATGTGGATGGCAGGGGATAGATCAATTATATCCTGTGCTGTTAGATATAAGCGAAATTTTGCAGTAAAATATAATTGGCGTAATCGGGGCTTTGCAGTAGAAAGGGCCTAAATGCTATAAATGCTATATATAATACATATAGCATTTAAGCCTTTTCTACTGCAAAGACCCTATATAACTATTACAAATTAAAAAAAAGTTGACAGGATTATTTTCATGTGTGGAGGCTATTATCGCGGATGACCAGTATAGCCTTAGATTAGCACAATCAATTAAATTTAGATACACAAATATACAATTTGACCAATTTGATAAGTATCAGAATATTGGTCTAATTTTTTTAGAGCATTTAACTGGTTTCAACCTGCATATAATATGGCTGATACAACATAAAAGATTATATGATGTTATATTTACTTTGAAATGGTTTAATTATAAGTATGCATATAATGTTATATATTAAGTATATGGTATGTAACAAGTAATATTAAATTTAGCACACTCATGCATATTTCTGCATACCTTGTTGCTATACTGCGTAATAAACCACAGCAAATTAGTTGAATTGATCTTGATATAAGAAAGTTTATTATTTTTGAAGAATGAACTCTTTTGTTGTTGATGATATATATATATATTTAGCATGAGAAAATTTGGTAAATTTTCGGGATACTTAAATCCATGGCCAAACCATACTAAATATCGTTATATATATTTTTTTATAAATAGAACGATTGGATTTCTAAAATTAATTGAATTGATTTAAGATTAACGTGCATATTTGTTTGTTGTGTTACAAATTGAATGGAAATGAACGGTAATTTTAAGAATCGGTTTTTATATAGGGTCTTTGCAGTAGAAAAGGCCTAAATGCTCTATATATATTATATATAGCATTTAGGCCTTTTCTACTGCAAAGCCCCTATATAAAAATTCTGCATTTACACCGGTACAAATTCGGATGAAAAGATCGCCCCTAATTGACAATCAATTCTAGCATATTTATGACCGATTACTTCAGGTATTTATAGTTAAAAAGGAAATCTATCGAATTATTCCAATTATTGTTGGATAAACATAAAACACAGCATGATAAATTTATCAAAAGTTTTAATCGGTTAGTGGATTAACTATAATCATAAAATAAATTTGCTATATATATCGAAAATACATCTATGCATATTATCATCCTTTGAGCAACGCATTATTGGATCACAAATTATTTAAAATATAATTACCCAATTTTCTTTACTCTTTTATTCTTTTTTCTTTCTTTCTTCTTTTAATTCGATTTCATGTATATGAAAAATACAATTGTATTATTTTTATATATATTTTATTATTTCTAAGATGATAAAGAATTCATTTAAATCATTATTATTGGCTTTTGTTGGCATTACCACTTGTTTGGTAATTGTCGGAAGCGCTTATTCTTGTGATCCTTCAACTTGCAAACCTCCAAACTGTTTTTGTGCTGGAACAACTCCTCCCGGAGGTCTTTCTCTGGACGACACTCCGCAATTTATTTTGTTTACTTCTGGTATATATTTGTTACATGTTTGTTTCATTTCGTTTTGTTATTTATTACTTTTAGTTGACAGCTCTTTTTTTTTAGATGATTCTGTTCAAACTAGTACTCTCGCAGGTATATCATTTATTAATTAGTTGGAGTAATAAAGTGAAACATGGCATATATTCAATTTTCAATTCTCCTTTAGTTGTAAACCAATTATTAGGAACTAGGAAAAATCCTAATGGGTACGTACTTGGCTTTTCACGTGATTGGACCGATCTTTAATTCTAACAGCTAAGTACGTACGTACGCACACATTACGAATTTTTTAGATGTCCTATCAAATCTACTTATTATGTTAGCATTCAATACACAAATATGTCTATGGTCACTGAATGGTACGCCAGTGGTCATGAGGTTGCTGACCATACCATCACTCATGTCGGGCCAAGTCCTGAAAGTAAGTCCATTTACTCAAGTATGATTAACATTAATTTTAAATTATTAATATATACAGTATATATATTTTAATATATTTTAATAGATGAAATTACTGGATGTAAGGAGGCACTCAATGCATTTGCCGGCCTTCCGAATGACAAAATTAGTGGTTTTCGAACGTAAGTTTGCAATTTCATTTACAATGATCCTTGATTATGATTTTTTATTCATCTTTTAACAATTCAGCAATTTATAATAGGCCATATTTAAATTGGACGGTGGATACTTTTAATACTCTTTCAAAATTAGGTTTCAAATACGATTCGAGTGTTACAGCTTTGGTAAATAAAATTTTCGATTTATAGCAATAGTTTTGATTTGATTACCCTTAATTATACTATCATTAAAATATTTTTGTCGTTTAAAAAAGAATGATGACGCATCTTGGCCTTACACTTTAGACAATGGTCTTTATAATGATTGTTGGAAAGGTTTTTGTAATCCTGCGATACTAAAAATTCCGGGTTTCTTTGAAATTCCAATGTCTGCCCTTATCGGTATGTATACAAATATACGCTTATATCAATATTTTAATTTTGTTAACAAATGTTATCATCAACTTTTAGATGAACAAGGACTACCTCATTTAATGGATCCATATCTCGATAATACTACTGATGTTGTAAAAAAATGGTTGCAGGATAATTTCAATCGTCATCTTAAACAAGGAAAAACTCCATTCGGTATATATTAATTTCCACTTTTTATCACGTATTATCACGTATTATCACATATGCTCGTTAATCTTACTTTTTTGCAAACTTATCACAACCTAGGTGTTTATATTCATCCTATTCAACTCAGCACTCTAATTCCTAATAGAAGTAATGATCTTTGCATTTCTAATTTGTTTCTATTTTTAAATCTTATATACTAAATTCTCTTTTCATAATCAGATCCTGCTCCAATGATTCAGATGCTTCAAGAATTTTTCGATTGGGCATTAGCACAACCAAATGTATGGTTTGTAACTTCACAACAGCTTCTCACCTGGATGAAAAATCCTGTTTCTGCAAGTAAACTCAAAGATTATGAACCATTCCAATGCAAAGCTCCAAAGATTGACAAGAAGATTTGTAATGGTTTAACTGACGATGGTCTTCTAGAAACCTGTTCTTTCGCTAATGGTTCATGGAGTACATGTTATGGTTGTCCAAGCAGTGATATTACTGTCGCTAATCCTGTCCCTTCAAGTATGTCTGCAAAAATATTCATTCGATTGCCACGGTTACATTATAATTTTCTAATTTTCTTCTTTTCATAGGTAGTAGTAGTAGACACAGATTACCCACGAATTGTGATACCGTTTGGTGGGATCCGATCGGAAATACTTGTTTGTGCACTGACTCGTCTTGTGCTTATGTGGATACAAGTGTACCAATGCCGGGTCCGAATCAAACCTCTCCAAGCGGCTCCAATCCTACCAGCAACGGACAATCCAATGGTCAAAAATCTGATGCTAGTTCGTTACTAAGTAGCCCCGTTTTAGTGTTAGGATTAATAGCCTTTAGTTTATTCCAATTTTTATAAATTTAGTAACCCAATCCTTACTATTAATTTTATATATAGTCTTTTAAATGTATTTATAATGACTAGAGTTGAGTTGTATGAATTTTATCTATACGCTTATAGAGTTAATGCAATTGGTATATACTTATATAATACGATGCCACTGCATAAAACGTTCGAATCATATATATAATATATATATACACTATAATAAATTCGTTAGCGTTAGGGTAGATACGCACCTATCCTGAATTCCGTTCTCAGTTCTAATACCGTATTCCTCCGAAAATAAGCACCCCCGAAAATAAGCACCCCTGGCCCACACTATGCCAACTTTGGCCCGCTTTATGACAATCACGGCCAGCATTAAGTG